ATTTTCACCAATTCATGGGTGAAATACCATGAATTACAAAATACCAGCTCACGCTGCCTTGTCTATGAGGGAATTTTTTGGCAGTAAAAAATAACTGTATTGGAACACCTTCCCTACACACCTGATCTGACACCCCAATGACTTCTTTCTTTACCGGGTGATAAGGGAAATATTGAAAAGAAGACATTTTGATGACATTAAAGACATGGAGGTTAATATGGCTACAGCTCTGATGGCCATTTCAGAGACTTCCAAAATTGCTTTGAAGGTTGAACTAGGCACAGACATTGGTGCATAGCTTCCCAAGGGGAGTACTTGGAAGGTGACATGGCGATATTTAGCAATGAGGTATATACTACTTTTCTTAGTATGAGTTTGTGATCTTGTCATGCCTTGTATATACAGCTGAACCTAGTGCTTACAGCAGATACTTTGGAGCAAAGACCAAATATAGAAGGGTGAGAATGGTGGTTTAAACCCTCAATGCCAGGCAGAAAACAGAAGACAAAGACTTGGAGCCTGACTGCCTCCCCGCTCACTCCCTGAGCTAACGCACCCCACGCCCTCAGTGTTAGAAGCAAGCTCCAGAAGAATTGGTAGGGGTGTGAGAACAGAGTATTTATAGCCCTGAGAACTGCAGTGACAGTCCCGAGGCCACAGACTCACAGTGCCGCAAGTTCCAGTGAGAAAGAATGAACTCTAGGGGCAAGACAACTCTGAGCTAGTAGTTGTCATCATCAGAGCCACAAATGCACCAGCCACATCTCACAGCCCACCTCACCCCCACTTTTTGTGCAGATACCTACGGGTGCAATCAGAGCCAATGAGACACACAGGCTACAGGGGCAGCATTGGAATTTCAGAAGCTCAGAACTCTATCCCCTCCACATCCTCCTATGGAGGTGGTGTCTTGCTCACTGAGAAGACTAACATCCAGGGAAACCCCCAATAATGTTAGAAGCCCAGAAGAGTGTGAGAGCAAACATAACACTACAGCATGAAAGAAAACAATAGGCTGAAGTGGGAGAGAAAATAAAGCTTGCCAGGAACACACACTAGAAAGCAAACTAAAGACTTTTTTTTTTAAGATTTTTAAGATTTTATTGGGGAATTGGGTAAGGGGAACAGTGTTAGGGAATTGAGGAAGGAGAACAACCAAGTTGTCCTTCAGCCTTAGTTGTGGAGGGTGCAGCTAGCTCACCTCCAAGTCCAGTCACCATCTGGCCGCCCTTCGGCAGCTCAGGACAGCTCAGCTTAAGGTGCCGTGTTCAATCTTAGTTGGGGGTGGGTGTAGCCCACCATCCCATGTGGGAGTCGAAACCAGCAACCTTGTTGTTAGGAGCACATGCTCTCTCCAGCTGAGCCATCCTGCCACCTGTTGGCAGCTCAGTGGCATCTCGGCTCAGGCACAACTCACTGGCCCATGTAGTAATCGAAACAGCGACCCTGTTGCTCAGAACTTGCACTCTTGAGCAAGCTCTTAACCAACTGAGCCACTCAGCAGGCCCCTGAAAACCTTTTTGGTTTTATGTAGTCCAATTTGTTTTTTATTTTATTTTTCTTGCCTGAAATATCAGTCAAAATATTACTAAGGGTAATGTCTGAGAGTTTATTTCCTATATTGTCTTCTAGGAGTTTTATGGGCTCAGGTCTTACATTTAATTCTTTAATCCATTTTGAGTTTATTTTTGTATATGGAGTAAGAAGATGGTCCAATATCATTTTTTGGCATGTATCTGTCCTGTTTTCCCAGCACCATTTTTTAAATGAATTATCTTTACCCCATTGTATATTCTTGGCTCCATTGTCATAGATTAGATGACCATATTGGCATGGATTTATTTCTGAGATCTCTATTCTGTTCCATTGATCTGTGTGTCTGTTTTTATGCCAATACCATGATGTTTTGATTACTATAGCTCTGTAGTATAATTTGATATCAGGTAGTGTGATACCTGGATTTCTTCAGCTATTCAAGGTCTTTTATGGTTCCATATAAATTTTAGGATTATTTGGTCTAATTCTGTGAAAAATGCCATGGGTGTTTTGCTAGGGATTATGCTGAATCTATATATTGCTTTGGGTAGTGTGGACATTTAACTATATTAGTTCTTCCTATCCATGAGCATGGTATATGTTTCCATTTATTTGTATCTTCTTTAATTGCTCTCTTCAATGTCTTATAATTTTCTTCCTGGATAAAATTTATTACTAAGTATTTTTTTGACGCAATTGTAAATGGTATTGTTTTCTTAATTTCTTTTTCTGATAGTTTGTTATTGGTGTATAAAATGCAACCGATTTCTGAATATTAATTTTGTATCCTGCTATGTTATTAAATTCATTTATCAGTTCTAATAGATTTTTAGTGAAATCTTCGGGGCTCTCTCTATATAATATCATGTCATCTGCAAATAATGCCAATTTTACTTCTTCCTTTCCATGTAGATGCCTTTTATTTCTATTTCTTGTCTGATTACTGTGGCCAGAACTTCCTGTACAATGTTGAATTGAAGTGGTGAAAGTTAATTGCTGTGGTCAGCCTATTCTCTTGATAAGCTGATAAGAGAGCACATTTTGGTTTTCAGTATTTGCTCAGGCTTGGGAACAGACAGAGTTCAGGAGCATTAGGGAGGATAGAAGCCTGACAAAAATTGAATCAAGGCAAAGCAGCAGGTAAGAAAAGAAAATGGGTATTTTTGAACACTTGGTCAACTTCCCACTTCAGCGAAAGAGGAAATTAATACCTCTAACATTTCTCCTCCATCCTTCTCTTCACTGATGCCAAAATTCAGCTTCACAATCAAAGAATATTACACTATGAAGCCAGGTTTATTCTTTCATACTGAGATGGAAAGACCAAAGTCTTTAAATAACCACTCTGTAAGGTGTGATTGAATTCTGAAAGAATAGAAGATATACCTCTGGTCACCTCTGGGTAGGTGGGTGTGAGGTATTTGTCCAGTTATAATGAAAACCACTCACCATCAGCCTCGTCTTCACTTGATTTCCTCAGCATGGTTTGCTGCTTGAGTAGAGCTATTCACTGCCCTGATCATACCCTCCTGTATCCCTACAGGCAGGACTTTCAGTATGTTCTTGTAGACTGATTACTCTTCAGCAGTGGTTTACACTGAGTTTGTCTCTTACTGTTTTTCTCAGCAAGTCATATGCTCTTCTAAACTGCATCACACAAGCTTCTCAGCCCAACCTTCGCTTTGATAGGCATGGCCACACAGATGTGAGGATTTATTTCTAGCAAAAGTAAATCTGACCCATTGACCATGATTTGAGAGTAGACCTATGAAGGGTTCATTTAGCTTTGTAACAACCATTGACAGAGGAACTCAAAATTATGGTATAAAAATTAGAGGGGAATTTTTACTCAAGTTAGCTTGGGTCTCCTTAATCTACTGAATATTCGTTCCTGCCCAGGTTGTCATCTGCTGCCACTGTTCCCTTTTTCCCACTTTTCTCCAGATGTACACCAAAACTTTGAGTAAAGTTTAAACCTAAATACAACTGTCCTGCACCAATTTGCTATTCCACCAACAGGGCAGGATAGTTGTATATAGGCTTAAATTTTACTCAAAGTCTTGGTGATGGTGAGTGATTTAGTCATACTAGTCAACTTTTGAGGTCTCTTTTTTTCTCTCTGAGACTGTCATTTTCTCTGTCTCCAATTCTCAATTACTATTCATTTATTAAGTACAGCAGTTTAGGTGACTAGTCCATTACTCCAAACCAGGTTCCTGTCTTACCTTTGTATAGTCAACATCTCTTTAATGTATTCTGCTGAAAAAAGGTCATCTTCTCGGTATCATCACTATAGAAAATCTTCCCAAATTAGCATACCCCTGCTTGCACAGTATAAGTCTTATCCTCGAAGTCCCTGGTGAATTCAATCAGATTCTATGGTGAACTATTTGACCAAAAGGAGTGGGATTTGGTTCTGTACCTAAATTTTATTCACTGATGAAATAAACTTGCAAGTATTGTGTCTGTTCTTGTTGTCACTTTTGTAGTTAAACAAGCACTTTATTTGCAACATTATTTAACAACATCAGTTTAAAATGTATTTTACAGTTCTCTACAAGATATACATTCACCAAGGGTGAGAACTTTGCTTTGTTTATCTTTAATTATCTAATAGCAATGACTCTCACATTTGGATTCCAAATACCAGTAAAATGCACAGTCGAGTGTCACTGGAAATAATGGCATTGTCCAGTTTTATATATACATAAACACAGTTTAAAAAACTGATCAATTTTCACTATAATTCATGTAGCATCTGTTTTTACACTTAAAATATAAAATCATATTAAAGATAACTTTCTGATGAAAATGTGATTAGTAGTATCATGTCACCAATCAAAGGAAAACAAAGAAGTTTTATTTACTGATATTTTATTCTATGTTAACAGTCTTGTAGTTTTGTAAGCTATATTTCAGAAATCTATTTTTGTTAGTACTATAAAATGAGTCTCTAACATCTAACTGCTTTTTGTTTTTAATCACTGTTGTTATTAAAGAAGCCCTTTCCCAGCAATATATTGGCTAAAATGGAATTAATACTGTTAATTAATTGGTACAATTTTAGTTCTGTTGTTCAATACAATGGAATGCAATTCTTTAAAGAGAATTAAAATTTCCCTGGTATAGAAATCAAATACATTTTCCAGAATTTGGGCTCATACTGAAATTCTAATATGATAGGAGTAGCTTAACAGAAAGAGATAAAATGAGAGAAAATGTTTGTAGTATTTGTCAGCTTTTAAAAAATATTGGTTATGTGTTGTTGCTCATTTAAAATACTGGGATTCCGAAGCCTGATGTGGAGGAACCACTACTCTCCTCCCAGTCGCGCCCAGTTCATTCCTTGGGGGTGGGGCATGAAAACTCAAAGTTAACTTCACAGGAGAGGGCCTGTCATTTGGTTTGGTTTTGCACATCCTCACCCAAATCTGCTTTGCTCTAATGTCTGGCTCAATTTTCAGCTTCCGGAGAGAACAGCCTGTACCTGGAGGAACCAGATGCAGGAGGAGCTAAGGAACGACCAAGCACAGCTGAGAACTTCTGCTGAGGCTGCAGCTCCCACACCACGTAAGCGTGCCCCTAAACTTGGTCTTCCATGCACATATCCATTAACTCACAACAACAAGCGCCCAAGTGCAGGCTCCACACTGGCAGCAGGAAGCAGAAGGCCTGGGCCCAAAGGTGGGTGGACCGTGGAGCAGTTTGCTCAAGCCAGCTCAGTGTTTCCCTTTAGATCAGAGGCAGCTGCCAGGCAGGAGACAGACAACACCAGCACTGTGCCAGGGCTGCTCCTCTATGGGCATCCACCCAGGACCGCACAGAGAGCCCTGCGCGGGAGAAAGAGGAAGGCATACTACCTTACCTGCAGAAAGGGGCTGAAGTCCTTTCTGGGAACAAATCCTGAGCCCTCGCAGGGTGGGTTCCCTTCCTCCTCCATGTCCCTCCTCCCAGCCGCAGACATTTCCTGACTGTGCTTCCCCTCCCCCACCACTCACCTCCCCAAGCTTGAGAAAACAAAAAGGAAAGGTGGCCCTCATTTCCAGACAATTTATATCCTAAAAGATTGACTCCGGATTATTCTTGTATTAACATTTAATATTCCAAGAAACTACAATGTTGTGTCATATAGAATAATTCCATCTGACTCTTACTAATCAACTGTTAAAAGTAAACGTAAGGCCTAATGGTGCTTACCACACACTGTTTTAATGTGTGGCCCATACAAGACCTGCATCAGAATAACCTGTGATACTTGCTGAGAAGACAGGGTTTGGGGTATTTTTAACCATCTCTTCAGATGCCTCTTCTGAACAGTAAACTTTGGAAACAGTTGATCATCTAACTCCATTTAATAGAACTATTTTATTCATTTCATTCTACTTGTTTATTTGGAATTTATAGCTTCTGGGTTTGGGTATCTAAGTATACCTACATTAAAAAATAAATGAATAAATAAAAATAAATGTAGGGCCGGCCGAATGGCTCAGTTGGGTAAGAGCATGAGCGCTGAACAATAAGGTCACTGGTTCGATTCCCACTTGGGCCAGTGAGAGGCGCCCAAGCTGAGCTGCTGCTGAGCTGCCAACAGGTGGCAGGATGGCTCAGCTGGTGAGAGCACGTGCTGGTAACAAAAGGTTGCTGGTTGGACTCCCACATGGGATGGTGGCTACGCCCACCTGCAACTAAGATGGAACATGGCACTTTGAGCTGAGTGGCCGCGGGAGCTGCCGATGGGCAGCCAGAGGGCAACTGGACTTGGAGCTGAGCTCGCTGCACCCTCCACAACTAAGATTGAAGGACAATAATTTCCCCAGTTCTTCAACAGTTTCCCTTCCTCAATTCGCCACTAAAATCTTTTAAAAAAAAAAAAAGTAAACTCAGCTATTCTTGCCCAAAGCTTTTTAAACATTAAACCTAAGAAATAAACTCTACAACTCCTTCCCTCAGAACACAGTAGTAAAAGGTCCATGTTTCACACCCCACTCTGCTCCCAATCACTTGTACAAAGGAAGAGAAATGGTATGGAGGAAGTCTGTTAAACAGATTCATGTTTTTTCTGAGAAATAGATTTTACATGCCTCATTATTTCTTGACAATTTGCAGCTCACTGAATGTATTGATTCCTTTCAACACATTACCTAGCTTGCTTATTGTTGAAAAAGTACATTAACCCTGGAAAAATTTTTTAATTTTGAAAGCCTATGTGTTACCAACTTGTACAGTAATGGACCAGGCAGGAGTTCTCGTTTTACTATAACACTGATAAGAAAATAGAAACTCACAAAGGTAGGTTCCTTTTTCAAGATCTCACTGGCAGTAAGCGACCTGAACTCTGGGGTTTGAACCGTGGCAGCCTCACTCCAGAATCTGTGCTCTCACATCCCAGGGCTGCTCTGGGTTCCTCCCAGGAGACTCATCCTCCATCTGTGTCCTGCCTCTCAGCTGTCACTGCTGGTGCTGTCCTGCCTGCTCATCCTCCTCATGGGATGTGTCCTCCCACTTTTTTGGGACTGGGGAAGGAAGTGCCACTATTTCACTGCAAAGCCAATCCTACACCTTCATTTAGAAATTAACCTTCCAACCTTCTGAGGCGTTCAACTTTTAATCAATACTTACACAGGACTCAGTATATACCAGCATGATTTTAAGAACATTATAAGTATTATGAGATATTTAGTCCTTCTAATGACCAATAGATTGCTACTATAAGTGTTGCCATTTTACAGAACACAAAACTGAGGCACAGAAAATTTAATCATCTTTCCACTGGTCACACAACTAGGGAAGCATGGGAACATGAATGTTGCTTAGCATTATCTTTGAGGACATAAAGGGACAGTCAAAGCTCTTCAACTGTTCTCTGTCTCTCAATTTAATGAAACACCCAATCACTGTGATGAAAACAATAAGTAGAGCCTCGCCTTGCTGTGGGACTCAAGCAGATCTGGGCAGATCCTGAAACACTGGCTAATGGCTGTCTTCCCTGTCAGCCTATAAATAAGAAATTCCCTTTTATTCTAGTGAAATAAATGGATTCCCGCAGCCATAATTTTATCTAGGTTATGAAGTTCTGTCCTGTTGTGTTTTGAGAGGAAATGGCATTCTTTATCTCTTCTTCTCCCTCTCAAAGTCTTTCCTCCTCCAGTCCGCTCCTGCTCCCACAATTCCTTAAACTTTCCTCGTCAAAGTCACAGATCACATTTATTTCCTTTTCTCAGAGAGGCCTTCCCTGACCACCCTCTATATAAATTCAGCCCCCATGCTCCCTGTCCCAGTCCCTGCTTATTTTCTTCTGAGTACTTACTGTTATCATCATTACATATATATAGATATATATATATCTTGTTTTCTTTATTATCTGTCTGTTCCCACTACAATAGAGCTCCACAAGGCAGGAATTTCTATTCATTTTGTTCACCATTTGATACTGAGCACCTAGAATAGCACATGGTAGGAACTCAATAAATATTTGTACAATTAATGAGAGACCAAATCAAGCTAGAACTCCAGATATCTTCTCTGGTCACTCCTCATCTCCTGCATGTCCCATTCTGCCTGTACTTCCCCCCAAATATGTTTGTATTCTCTAGACACCATCATCAGTTGTTTAGTTTCCTCATCCTGTTTGTTTTATGCATCACATGGCAGGGTTGTTTTAGGGTTCTTTTAAGGATCAACATGATCATGTACATGAGGTATCTGTATGAGGCCTTGACACACTAGGCTAAAAACTTATCTTTCAGAAACAATTAAAACCTAGGGAACCTATTTAGAATTCTTCACACAGAAAGCTGACTTGCATGAGACTTGTGCGACCATTAGATATGACTTCAAGACCTTGTATATTACTCAGTTGTTCCTCTGGATTGCAGATAGCATGGCATGTGGATCTATGATGATGGGCCCCCTCTGTCTGGTGGAAAATGGGAAAAATCAGCTGGCAGTGAATCCAAAAGCACTGGAAATTTTTGACAAGATCTCTCAGCCTGTGGTGGTGGTGGCCATCGCAGGGCTGTGTCGGACAGGAAAATCCTTCCTAATGAACCGCCTGGCAGGACAGAACCATGGTGAGTGTTGTCCTGGGGTAGGGGCCATTTGCTAGGAAGCAGTGATGACACAGGCTGATCTCACCTTCTTCAGGGTCCTCTTAAGGGTGAGCCTAACTCCTCTCACTGAAGAAAAGTTTTAATTCTCATTGCCCAGTTGATAACTTCAACACCATCTGTCCTCAATTCTCATTCATATATCCAGTAATAAAGGTTCCCTAAACCCTATCCAAAGACCCTGTTAAGTCATCTGCTCAGGACCTCAGCTGCGGAAATTATTCCCTTCCTTTACCTATATGACTTTTGCCCTAAACTACAGGGTCATTTCAAGTGGCACACAAATATTGTTCAATATATCCTGTTTCTAAAAAAGATATAGAAGGAAGAATAGACAGCAGAATCTCACATATTCTATATCTCAGTAGGGGTACATTCCAAATTTTTTTATTCATTTCATAGCAAAACTTTGAAAAATTGTGTCACTTCTCTCTATATATTTTAACTACATGTGAACATAACACACAGAAGAGTGCATAAAACATCTAATTTGCATTTGTGTTTATAATTTATTTATTTCACTTTGTCATGTGCTATAGTCAGAGGATACCACAATTTATTTATCCACTTGTTGTTGATGAACATTGGTATTGTTTCTAGGTTTTATCTTTTATGAATGATGTTATCATGAATATTCTTGTATTTATATCTTGGTGGACATGTATGAGTACACAAACTTCCCTTGTGTGACATACCAGAAATGGAATTGCTGGGTCACAGGGTATATACGTCATTAGCCTTTCTAAGTAATACCAAACTTTATGTGCAATTTATGTGCTTAGTGGCAGTAAATAAGAATTCCCCACATCCGAATAAAAATTTAGTACAAGACTTTTTAACTATTGCTGATCTGGTTAACTGTAGAGTTGCATGTTATTTGCCTCATTACAATAAGTTTGATCACATTTTCACATATTAATGTGCTATCGCATTTCTTATTTCATGAAGGTTTTGTTTTGTTTTCTATTGATTTTTAGAACAATCTGCCTATGTTGTGTTAAGCATTTCTGTCTATGACAACCACATAGCATTTTTTATAAAATGTCTTCCTTAGTGGCTCAGCAGCTTAGCCCCATTAGGGGTTAAACCTCAGTGCACTGAACTCTAAAGATCCCTAGAAATACCTCTCATTATCTTTTTCTCACTGTGTCTCTTTCCATTTGTCTTTCTCCTTCTTTTCCTCTCTCCTTTTCCCTTTTTTCTCCCTTTCTCCTTTTTGCTTCCCAATCTCTTATGGCCTCTAACAAAACATATTATTTTGGTATTTCTTGCAGGATTTCTTGACCACCAATCAGAGGAGGGCACTTTTTATTGCCTAGCCCATATTAGTTAATAGGCCATTTAGTGAGAGATTAAAGATTAGAGAACCATAAGAGAGAGAGATCAGTCAAGGAGCTTTCACAATGTCATTTTTAATCTAATCAGAGAACAACTGGTAATAATGAGGTGATTTCCATTGCTGAGGAAGTCCCCCACATCAAAATGCTTTAAAACACCACTCCACTCATATCACAGAAAGAACAAAAAGAGATTTGCACCTTGTCAAGATCCAAGAGCACGACCAGGTCACTAGTCTTTGTCCTTGTTGATGACCTACTTTGTGTGTTTGTTACCTCTCATAACCAAGTGTAATTTCCTCCAGTTATACTTATCCTTTCTCACTTGGGAACTGGAAGTTCAGATTACTCTGTATTAACCAGCATGCAATCAAATGCTATCACGATGTAAAAGAGTGCAGAGCATTTTGAAATTCGTACCCTATCTGTGGCGTTCATACTATATGTGGATATTGAATGGCCTGAGCCATGCTAAACCAACCTCTGCTATGTGTTTCATCATGTCCATTTTTATTCTCCATTAAAGGAAGCATTGGCATGCGGCAGATAATCAAAATCTTGGACTGTTGGACAGGATATGTCACTCTGATGTTCTTAACCATATGCTTCACATCCTCTCCCCTTGTGTGTTTAACTTAAGCTTCTAGAAAGAGGGGCTAGTAAGTTTCACAGGTCTTTTCTGATTTCTCTTCCATTATATCCCCACTTGACGCAAAGAATGAAAAACTCATTATTTGGTTGAAGAGGAGAAAGAAGATGAGGAAAATATGATGAAATAGGGGAGGGGGGATCCAACAGAAAACTAGAGGTAACTAAAGAGTTTCTAATGGAGGGACTACTTACAAGGGCATATGCAGGGCAAAGGAAACCAGTGAGAGATGGGCAAGCACCTACAGAGTGGCAATAGCAATGGCTAGGTAGCCATTATAACTCCTATAGCCTGAAGAGGCTAGCAAAGAGTGGATACCAATGTGACAAAGACCAGAGACATTGGAGGGAACTACATGAAAGGAGCTGTGATTCAAGGTTCAGGAACAGAGGTACTGGGACAGTGGGGCTCACCAGAGTGAAAGCTACAGGAACACATGCCTGATTTTCATTCTCCTGCTGGTGCCTCCCTCTGGTTGAACTCCATCAGAACCTGGAGGACAAGGGAACTCTTCAGCGTTGGATAAAAACACAAAAGTTGAGCCGGCCGAGTGGCGCAATGGTTAAGAGCTGGCGTGGGACGCCAGAGGGCCCCGGTTCGGATCCCACATATGAGGGCCAGTGACACTGCCCTCCACAGCTAAGATGCAGAACAACAGCTTGACCTGGAGCTGGGCTGCCATGAGTCACCGGCGATGGCATAGGCTGCAGCCCCTGTGGCAGGTGGGTTGCCATGGGCTACCGTAGTAGCCAGCAACCAGCGTGAGCAGCCAGCAGCCGCAGTGAGAGGCCGTCCAGAAGCCGGCGACTGATCTGCCTCTCCCGGGAAGAGCGCAATGATGATGCCAACTTGGGCCAGTGAATCAACGTCCTCCACAACTAGACTGAGAACAAAACAACAGCAACTTGTCTGTTTTCCTTCCCCCAATTCCCCAGCGCTATTCCCATCCCCCCAATTCCCCAATAAAAATCTTTAAAAAAAAAACAAAAAAAACCCCACAAAGGTTAATAGAGTTTATATTAACTCTGTCATGTGACATAGCTTGGGTCATTGATGGTATGAGGTGAATAGAAGACACAAAGTATTTCTTGAGAAAGTTGATAATATGTATAAAGGTTGCATTGACTGTCCTTGTCGAAATGAAAGCAATCTTCCTCCCAGCCAGGCACTCACATTCCAAGTTTAACCAATGTAACCCAAAGGCAGTCTGCACTATCTGCTGTTATGGTATATTGCTTTCTCCTCTTCCTTTGCAGGTTTCCCTCTGGGCTCCACAGTGCAGTCTAAAACCAAGGGCATCTGGATGTGGTGTATGCCCCACCCCTCCAAGCCAAATCACATCCTGGTCCTTCTGGACACCGAGGGCTTGGGCGATGTGGAAAAGGTAAGGAAGGGATTCTTCTTTGCTCTTGATACTCCACTTACATTTTAATTTGCAACCTCAGTTCAACTTTTATGCTACTTTTCTGTGAACTACAAATCCAGTTAGTAATAATGAGGCTAAATTCTGTTCCTTTTAATTTACTTTCTTGGTAAACTCAATATTTTGGTTATTTGGGGTAGATCTTATTTTTAACACTGGGGTGAAAGATGCAAGTTAACAAATATTTCTTGGGCAGCTAAATTCTAGGGCTTTTTGTTAAGTGCTACAGACATCCCAGTGCATGAGGTAAAGACCCAGACACTGTTGGGGAGATAAGAATATGCAGTGTTATCAGTATGGATACAAAAAGTGAGAACCTAACCCAATCACTTGGGTCAGGGAAAACATCCTAGAGAAGCTGTGACCATGGGATCAGTAAGCTTTACTAGTTAAGGTGTGTGGGGTTGATAGAATTGGAAGTAAGACTCATGAAAATAGGGTTTCAGTGAAATAATCTACTGAAATAATCTCCACAAAAACTTTAGCTACTACAAAACATTCATTAAAGTTTTAGTCCTTCTCTGTGCTTTGAAGATAAATTCCTCACTTGTATAAAATATGAGTTGGATGCACAAAAAAGCATTGTAAAAGGGATAATTTTTGTATTTTTCTTTTTATAATGTTAGCTGCAGTCTTTTCTCCTTATATATGTTAGTCTGAGTCTAAAGTGAAAGTAGCAACAATGGGTCTTTGACTGCCATTACTGCCAAAAGAGTAGGGACATGAATGTAGATAATCTGAATTCTAAAATTTGGGGTTTAATGTGTTCCATAATCACCTCAGTGCAAACCCAAGATGGTCTACTGATTCCTAATAAATTTTAACTCATATAAGATTCTTCTTTTTATCTAATTGCACTGTTCAAGGAACCCAAACATACCAAATGTAAACTGATAGTGGCAGAACTGTGTGCTGCCCTTACAATTTAGAGTGTATTTGAGTAGTATCTAATAATGTTACAAAGTCACTCATGACTTTCCCTGAATCTCGTTTTCAGCCTTATCATCTACTCCCACCACAGACATAACCACTACTTCAGTCAAATAAAATAACCTGTAATACCTTTGTACGACAACACTCTCTGACAATTTTGATTGGTCTGTTGGTCCTTCCAACTGCGTGGTCTCTTTATCTCCACATTTCCACATTCTGTCAGTCTGTTAAAGCCCAGCTATGTTCCACCTGATGGGATTGTATCTCATTCTGACATAATCACTTCTTGCTCTGAATTCACAGAGTACATTCCTGCTTTTGTTTCTTGTTGTTTTTTTGCATTCTCATTGTCTTTTACATGATAATACTGGGTTTAACTCTTGGCAGAGTTTATCGTCTTGGATGCATTTACATGTTGCCATGTATATGTACCCCACAGAAAATTCATCTCTCAACAGCAAGGATTATCACATGCAAATTTATATATACACAAGCAAATGCAGTCTGGCATTTCATAGCTGCACAAATGAGTCATGGGTAAATTTAACTGAATAGCATTTCTGTTCCCAATAAGCCAAAAATGAGGAAAATTTGCGAACAAATCATTGCCCACTTAATACATACTTCCATGTTCTAGGCACTGTATTAAATATTTGACACATATTTACAGTGTCATTCACTTCTGTTAATAGGGAAAGAAACTCAGGCCCTTAGCGGTGTGTCAACGTTAATATTAAAAATAAGGTTTGAATTTAATGCTGTCTTCACAATTTATGTTATATGCCTTACCATTCAGCTACAGTACAGCTGACATAGTGAATGAACAACTGAATGAGTGAGAAGAGTAGATGCCTAAATAACGTCTAACGTAGATGCCTGTTGTAATGCATTTTTTAGGGTGACTCTAACAATGACTTGTGGATCTTTGCACTGGCCGTGCTTCTGAGCAGCACGTTTGTCTACAACAGCATGGGGACCATCAACCACCAGGCCCTGGAGCAGCTGCAGTATCCTTCCAAGAACTAAACCACCTTGGGCCATTGAGTCTATGGAAATGTAACTGAGACTGTTTCAGCTTTTCCATGACTCAGTTCTCATGGTTGAAGAGAACGGGTCACAGGGCTAACAGGAATGTTTATAAATCTTGTTTCTGGGTAAGATCTGGAAATTTGGGTGTGGAGTATTCTCATTCCTTAGCTGAGATCCCAGCTATGTAACTGAACTAACCAACCTGATCAGGACAAAATCTTCTCCCAGCTCCGGTGAAGTAGATGACTCAGCTAAGTTTGTGAGTTTCTTTCCAGAATTTGTGTGGGCTGTACGGGACTTCATGCTGGAGCTGGAGTTAAACGGACGCCCCATCACTGAAGATGAGTACCTGGAGAATGCCTTGAAATTGACTCCAGGTATCAGAGTATGACCTGGGTGGTGGAAGTTTCAGTAGGAGATGGGATTGATCAACTGAGCCCCATCACTCAGCACTTGACATCAATCTTCATTTGAGATTGGATTGAGGCCCATGCTAGTGGTGATTGGTGTGTGACAGGTGGATATGGTTTTAGTCATTATTAATGGAATAACTCCAGTGACTACAGTTGAACCTCGCTGAAGGAATTTAGAATCCAATATTGGGACAAATGATTTTGGAGAAATTGACACCATTAAAAAAGTTTGAGGACTCCAGCTAATTTTTAAACTTCCTCAGGCTCAAATGCTTGTGTTACTTATTACGTTCAGAGCTCCTGCACTTCTATTTAGAGAAAAATATCATCAGTTTGGAAAACAGTAACACAGAATCACAAAGATATCAAATAACCTAATTAAAAATTTTTTTTGTGCAATCTATTTTACTAACCTGCATAAAGCTACATCCTTCACATAAAGGATATTTATACACTATATGATTCCAAAAAAAAATCATTGGCATATCTCTGTAGTAACACTATCAAATATTTCATTTTGTTTCTCATAACAACACTTTCTTCATACATATAATATGTTGTCATCTTAATGTAATAAATTCATTACTAGGATGGCATGTAAGAGAGAGGATAATGGTGGTACCTAGAAGCAA